CTACTACTTACTACTACTTACTACTACTTACTACTACTTACTACTAACTACTACTAACTACTACTACTACTTACTACTACTTACTACTAACTACTACTTACTACTACTTACTACTACTTACTACTACTTACTACTACTTACTACTACTTACTACTACGACTTACTGCTACGACTTACTACTACTACTTACTACTACTTACTACTTACTACTACTACTTACTACTACTGCTTACTACTGCTCCTTAACTTGCTATCTACTGCTACGACTGGCTACTGCTACTGCCGACTGAGACTGCTACTACACTGACTACTTACGACGACCCGGCCGACTACTACAAGTTACTACTACCGACTGTAAGACATACTACTTACCGACTACTACCTACTACTACCTACTACTACCTACTACTACCTACTACTACCTACTACTACCTACTACTACCTACTACTAACTACTACCTACTACTACCTACTACTACCTACTACTACCTACTACTACCTACTACTACCTACTACTACCTACTACTACCTCCTACTACCTACTACTACCTACTACTACCTACTACTACCTACTACTACCTACTACTACCTACTACTACCTACTACTACCTACTACTACCTCCTACTACCTCCTACTACCTCCTACTACCTCCTACTACCTACTACCTACCTACTACTACCTACTACTACCTACTACTACCTACTACTACCTACTACTACCTACTACCACCTACTACCACCTACTACTACCTACTACTACCTACTACTACCTACTACTTCCTACTACTGCCTACTACCTACTACCTACTACTACTACTGCTACTACTGCTACTACTGCTACTACCCACTACTACCCACTACTAATACTACTACTACTACTACTGCTACTGCTACTACTGCTACTACTGCTACTACTGCTACTACTGCTACTACTGCTACTACTGCTACTACTGCTACTACTGCAACTACAACTGCAACTACAGCTACACTACTTTACGCTACACTACATTAGACTACACTACGCTATATTAGTCTGAGTCTACAGTACACAGCACTACAGTTACAGTACGCTACACTACAATAAACTAGATTAATTACACCACATCACAACTGTAACTGCAACTACAACTACACTACACTAATTTCACGGCACCACAACTGCAACTGCAACTACACTATACACTACACTGCAACTACAGCTACAACTGCACTACACCAAAATACATCCAGCAGTTGTGGGTGAGGTGACCACTGCAAGCATTGCAACCACTCCAAAAGACACAACTCCAACCACCTTTCGGTCCACTCCAACCACTTTTCGTGATTCACAACAACCAAACTCCCCTATAGGTCTCCTATCATTGAAACTTCCGCCACCGCCTTGTGCAGTTCTAATGGTAAATATAAGCAAGGTCTTTGTTGGCCTCTTAAGCCATGATCTCTTGATATCTTTTCGACTTTAAAGGTTTACTGTACTGCATGGAAAAGGATTGCGCTGTAAAAGTGTTCTGTTGAGAGAGTTTGTCGTTGTGCGTTGGCCCTGTAGGCGGCTATCCTGAGACGCGCCAAGGAGCTTAAAAACCAGGCAGTTAACCTGTACGACAAGAGGATGTACAAATCTTTGCACTCATGCTTGGAAGCCATTACAGCGATGACAGGGAAGCTGAGTGTTGTGGACTCAGACCTTGATGAGCTTCAGAAGGTTTACGACGATGTGCGGGAGAGGATCCTCACCTATGTCAAGAAGCTGCGGGAGGAAGCCAAGCGCAAGTTGAAGGAGGATGCTGATGGCGAGCCGGAAGGTCTGGCCAACAACCTCGTCACCCTTGGGCTCTTAGCCTTCGAATTGCCGACCTTTAAAGAACATATCATTGAACAGATGAATGAGCTGTTGAACAAGGCCAGTGGTGGACATACAGGAGTTCAATACCTGTTGAACCTAGGGCAATTTCTTATGCAGCTCAAAGACGATGGTGGCACCATGGATGACGGGACTATGAGTAGATCTGCAGTAGCCAAGAGAATTGCCTCTGAGTTCAAGCAGTTCGAGAACGTCCAAAACATGTTCTGGAACCAGGCCGTCCAAAAGATGCAGAAGGCACCGGAGGAATGCGTGAAAGACATGAATGCAAAGAGTATCCTTGATGATGGCGAAGTCTTGCTTGATGAAGGTGATTTGAAGAACGGATTGGGTAGCTTCTGGGACCACTACAATGAAATGCTCAACCAGTCTCTTGATCGTCAAATCCAGCTTGAAGATATTGTGAGCAAATGCTTGGAAGAAGTGGCCATGCTGCGCAAACGTCATAATGTTGGTGGCGATGTGCTTGACCCCTTGTCGATCAAGGAGTCCCTGCCACGGTTCCTTGGAGATTCCGTTGAGGTCGACAGTGTCTGTCTTAATTGACTCGCGTGAGTTCAACCAACTAGTTGCACGAATCTTAGTGCATTCTGTTCATCCTCTTGGATTCTCTTGGTTGTTCGAGGTTTACTGTTTCAAATAGGAATCGCTAGGAGGGTCCAAAAAAAAGGTGATGCCACCAAAAAGCATGAACATGGGATGCATTTTTTTCTAGTCAACGCGTGGAGTCAAACAATCATATCTGCAGTGGTGTACGCAGATCGCGTGCGGTACCTTGCGTTGAGCCTTTGCCTGTTTCTTCATATTCCTGCTGAATTCTGGATGACGTCCGCAAGTAAAGTGGGAACTCCCGCAGGAGTTTTGGTCAGCATCCCTTCTTGGTCAAGTGTTTTCGGAGATAAAGTGCTAGATATGGCCCAAAGTACCGCGCCTGCCACGCAAAGACATAAATACATAGGTTGCAAGAATGCAACACATGGCTCAAACCTTGACACAAAGTGCTCGTGCATGTGGTCTTGCAGGTTTAGTGATGCGCAAGTATGCTTGCACTGTAATGCAAGAAAGTCGAGGGTCCTATGTATCCATCTTCGGGTCCTATGCCACACTGGGTGGTTAGTGTCCCATGTGTCCTCTTAACCTAAGCTGGGGCCCTGGAATGGGAAATTAGAGCGCAAGCAACGAAACAATGTGGGTTTCGAAAAGACACTGGCCACGGGACATCCGGTTGATTTGTATACAGCGCTCCTCCATCACTTCACTTTGCAGCGAGCCATGGAGTATTTTAAACCCGCCATGGGGATTTTGCGCCTGTACCTGGTCCAAAAATTGAATAACGTCGAGACGTGGAGAAGATGCAATCACCCATCCTCAGCCACTCAAAACTAGCCCTATGACTGAGAAGCTGCTGCTTCGTATCGTTCATTGTTGGTGTGCATAGAAGCTGCGGCGTGGTGAAGCTCTCAACATGGTACTTTGAACTTTTGGAAAAAGGCCTCGGCGATGTCAAGATTTCTGGCATCTGAAATGTGCCTGCGGAATCGTCAACAGGGCGTTTGAGCGTCCAACCAACTTTTGAAAATGTATTAGTTGTATTAGTGTAGGTTTTCAAGAGGCTATAAAGAAATGACCGACCCCTAGTGTGCTACTTTTTCTGGGCGTTTAATTCGAAAAGTATACGATCGGTATCTTCACAAAACAGTCGTGATATGCCCGGTACTGCATCCAAGAATTTTCCGTCGCTTCTTGAGTGCCTGTATTAATTGGAAAAATTGTTCATGGAAAGTGCTCTCGCGTTTCACCTTGTCTCCCACAAAATAAAGTCTTGCACCCCCATCTGCATGGTGATGCGAACGTGCACACACACATACAGTGTTCAAACTTGCCATCATGACCATGTGCTTTTTCCAACTATATTAGTTTCTTCGAGAACTTTGTTGAAAAAGGCAGAGCGCATCAGGGCGCTGATTTTTGCCATTTTGGGGCATATGGCCCACAGCAGATCCAATTTGACGAAGTTCCGGGGACTTTTTAAGTGTCTAGACGATTTTTTGAAATTGTTTTTTTGTTTAAGTGCGAGCTTTTGCATAGAAAGTGCACATCGCGAGCCAACCAGTCTGACAGTGACATTTCAAGGCTCAGTGACCAGCTAATCTATTTGTTGCTTCAAAGTTTACCGTTTCCATATGATTCGCTTATGGAGGGGTAGGTGGCGGTTGACTCTCTATTTGGGGCCGCTTCTCATGGCGGCACCCAATTCTATCAAACACAACGCACGCGAGACGGCTGGATGTGTCGCATGGGAAAGCACGGGAAAATCGCAGGAGGATGGGTTTTCGTCCAGACTTACCTTTTTGACCGACATCTCAAAAAGAAGTCGGCAACCTAGTCAGCAAAAAAAGTGTTACCAACGAAGACCTTAGGAGATGACACCAGGAAGGAAAGGGCCTCAAGGTTCGAAGCTTCAATGTCAATGGTTAGCTGCAACGACTCCCATCAGTGTTCAGGCGAGAGCCATCTCGCACCGCACTGTAGTTTTTGCTCAAAGCAATCTCTTCTGAATTCATGGGTTTGGATATTGCCTTCTATGCCTGGCTGCTGCTTGCAAAGCTAAGGCTCTTGGCGCACGTCTTCGTGCACTACAGCATTACTGCCACTGGGGATGAGTTCATGTCTTTTCTTGCAACCAACCGGTTGGATAGCAAGGGCCTCGATATGCAGGCTTTGCTCGGCGGCATCAAAACTCCGCACAATATTCAGGTGCTGGCTATTCTTCGTTTCTTTGGCTTTGGGGAGCGGAGTGATCGAAAGAACATTCTTCCAAACCAGCTGGTTCAGGTGGAGACGGGTGGTGGAAAATCTCTGATCTTGGGAGCAGCAGCAACAGTCTTTGCCATGCTTGGCTTTGATGTCCGGGATGCTTGCTACTCAGATTACCTGAGCAGCAGAGATGCCAAGGACTTCCATCCGACTTTTTCCGACTTTCAGGTAGCGCCAAGAATCAAATACAGCAAGATTACCACTTTTAGCGAAGACATGGTGGCTGCAAAAGGTGATGTCCGGTCACTTACACTGGAACTTTTTGCAGGGAAATCGTTGAAGTCAAAAGTGGTCGCGTCCCAAGTTGATGTTAGCAAGAACCAGATTCTCTTGGTTGATGAGGTGGACGTTTTCATGGGCCCAGAGTTTGTCGCCAAGACGCATGATCAGGTTGCAAGATTGCAGCATCCGGGCGCGCGCAAAGTCTTGGAAAACTTGTGGCAGAGGCGGGAAGAGGCACAGACGCTTCAGGCTGCTGACAAGCTTTGCTTTGATGTCAAGACAGGGGAAGCCTACAAGAACTTGGTAAAGTCTTTCAAAACCTTTGAGGTGGTGATTGAATCCCAGGTGAGGATGATGTGCGTTGACTTGCACGATTACATGCAGAAAACCCATCCCATGCCAGAATTCAATCCGGTTCAAGGTTGCGTAGGCTACAAGGTTCAAGACCGAATCGATTGCGATGCGGTTTTTGGCTACAAAAGTGCGTTTGCGTACCTTGAAGATCAGAAGAAACTGAACAAGACAGAGGCTAAGATGAATGAGGCCCTCAGCATGCTCGTTCCCTGTGGTCAGTTCTCATACACGAAAATCCACCCGCGCCACATCTTCGGAGTGTCGGGCACAGTCGAACAGCTGCAGCCTTTTCAACGGCAAGAAGTGAAGAAACATGGCCTGCACGTCTTCACAACTATGCCATCGGTGTATGGCCAATCCAAGTTCCGTTTCTTAGAGCAGGCTGATGCCATCAAGGTTGTTCCAGCAGCAAATTTCTTCCAAGAAATTGCGTTGGCCACTCAGGAGAAGGTCAAAGAAAAGAGGGCCATCATTGTTTTCTTTGAAAGCCATCGCCTTCTTGAGGAGTTCCGCAGATCGCAATTCTTCGCCAAACTGCCATCTCCTGAAATTTTGGTCGAAGGACTATCGTATGATGATAAAGCCAACATCATCAAAAAGGCGGCCAACACTGGGCAAATCACCTTAGCAACCGCACCCTTCGGCCGTGGAAGCGACTTTGTCTCATATGACGACAAGCTCCAAGAACGTGGTGGGGTACATGTCCTACAAACGTTCCCGTCAGCAGATGCCAGTGAAGAGGTTCAGTTCCAGGGCCGCACAGCTCGGCAAGGAAAGAAAGGCTCATACAGCTTGATTTTGCGGGAAGAAGATGTCCAACAGAAGCTGGGCTTGGCAGCTGACATTCTTCATGATGGCCAGGGTAACATGGAATTTGTTGGGGCAATTAATTTTTCATGTTGATATTGCATGTTTTTCTAAATTAATTTAATCTTCGGCCATGTTTGCTTTGTTATCCTTTGTTGTAGGACTCGTTGCGGTGTAACTTCGCATTGCACGTCAGGCAAAGGCTACCAGAAAATGAAGTCAGCTCGTGCTCAAAAGTCCGCTGAACGGTTTGCGAGTCTGACATCGGACTTGCAAGAGGCTCATGAGAAAGACGTCCTGTCACATGCTCTGCTTGACGCGTTGGTTGCCGGAGACCGCAAGAAGGCCACGGATGCATATTTGGATTTCTACAAGACGTGGATGCAGAGCCACGTCGCTACTTCGGCCAGGTCTGCAGCGCACCACTATGTGATTTGCTTGGACGATTCTGGCAGCATGAGCTACGGGCAAAAGTTTGAAGCTGCCCAGCGGGCTGTGGAGGATTTTGCAACGCAGGCCGCTTTGAAGAATCAGGGCACATCATCAGCTATGTCTCTGGTAATATTTGACCACGATGCTCGGGTGGTTTGCAACCAGACGCCTTTGGATCAACACGCCAGCTGCACAAATGCAATTACATACCAAGGAGGCGGCACAGAATTTAGCCGCCCATTGAATCATTCGATGCAGCTGGTGCGGGGGAACAAGGACAAGTATGACAAGCAATTCATCCTGTTCTACACTGATGGGGAAGCAGCGTTTCCACAAGCAGAAGCCGACCTCATGAAGAGGTTCAGGGATACTGGAGAAAATTTGGAATTCTTTGCAGTCGCAGAAAACCGAGCTCCCGCTTTAGACCTGATTTGCAAAGCACTTTACCCGTGGTCCCCGCTATCAGATCATTGCTTGTCGCAAGTGAGCCCCGAAGAAATTTCTGGCGCGATGCAAGAGACATTGCGCCGCATGAACATGGCCTTTGTTCAAGCCTAGCCGTGTCTAGATGTGCTAAGTACAAACTCACATCATCACATATCATCGGTAGTCTGAAGATCCAATGGATGTGGCGTTGTTTTTGTTGTCACCACGGCTTTGCGCGTCATACAGATTGGGTGCTGTACAGGACTATTTTAAGCACGCCGAGACCGAAGACCAGCATACACAGAGAAAAAAATGAGAAAAACACGCGAACACAGCTGCCTCTGGAAGCTTTTCATATCAGTATTCTTGCATTTGATCTTGCGCAGAATGATGCAGATGTCTACCTGACCTAGACAGCCAGGAGTGCTATCCTTTGAACATTTGGGCCAAGAATTTGTTTGGTTGTGCTGAAGGCTTATCCTTTGAGCCTTCGTGCTGTGTCCATCAACTGAGCCATATAATCATGCAGCACCATGCATGACATGCACACATCTTGCAGCAGCTGATCAACCGGTTTAGAAAAAAGACGTGCTAATTTTGTGCCCACCTAAAGAGCCATTTAATCACGCTGCACCGTTCATGAAATGCACCCATCTTGCAGCACTGCTGATGGGCTAGTTTTGAAAAAAACGTGCTAATTGTGTGCACCTGCCTTGGCTGCTTGAACCGCTCGTATAACATAATTCTACATATATATATACATTATTTATGTATATCATATTTGTTTTTTAGAAACACACACACACACACGCGCACACACACACAACACCTAAACACTAAAACACTGCAAACTGCTTGGCCCAAGCAGTTGGTTGCTGGGAAAAGGGTGCATCAGAAATAAACTGCGTGTTTTGGTTCATTGCCAAATTGGTTTCCAACCAGACGTATATAACACCGGCTCATACTTTCACCATTTGTTTTGGGAACCCAAAGACGCCGCTAACATACAAATAAAAACCCGAACTTTGAGAACCCAAAGACCCACAACAATATATTGGGAAACCATTGTCATCTGCAAATTGTTGAAATATCTTTGGTCCCTTGCTTTTGAGGAAATGGAAAAATGGCATGGTAACATGCACCCTATGTATTATTTGACTTATGTTGGTCTGGTGCCCACCGACAAAAACTATATAGTTCTTCTCGGTTTTTGCTGTTTGCAAACAACATTTACTTTGGCGCCCTAGATATCGTGAAATAGCTGGCTGATCGATATTTATTCCCCGATCCAATGGTAATATGAGTTGTTGATGTGCCCAGTCCCATGTGGAAGTAATGCCCCATATGCTTCACAGCGCATTTGGGTTTTTAATCTTCAATGTGCCCCAATTTGGTGAGTTTGCCATTTCCAAATGGTAAGGAAACAAGAACCAACTGATCTGACTATGTTTTTGGTTGACGGTCATATTTGGGGATAGACATAAAGCGGAGGGAAACCCAGTGATTTAGTTGAGCATAAGCCACCTGTAAATATGCATATGTATATGTATATATGTAACAATGATTTACGTCCCATTTTGAAACAAAACCAGAACACACGTGGGGAAATACTCCATCAACATTCAGGTTGAAAAACTCACCGTTCTTGCCGTCGACCAAGCACCAAAGCTGTGCTGCAAACCAGGTGATTGGATGATTGAAGGGAGATAGCATTAAATTAGATTGGAGGGATCTTCATCACACACATGATTGGGCATGACATGGCATGATCAAACCACCCATGACCGGGGAAAGTTCCATAGGTTGACACTAGACTAGACTAGACAGACCTTAGCCTTAGCCGGATGCGCATGCGCCCATCTCTTTTTCCTCATTCGTCGGGCTCCAAGTCAGGGGCGAAGGTGAAAAGCTGCAGCAATGCTCTGTAGCGTCCGAGGGTGACCTTTTCCATTGTCAATGGATGAGTCCTACTGGCTATGCTGCCAATTTGTTTCATCAGATCCTCATCCTGATAGCAGTGCTCATACCTGAGAATCACAGGTCTAAATTGGGAAAAAACATGTCAAGGATTGTCTTATTTTCCAGAGGGTGTTTGGGAGAAATAGGAAAGGTACCTGTATTCATCTAAGTTGCCGGGGATTGCGCGAGGTTTCATCAATGTAAAATGACAGCTCAAAGAAACTGTGGAACTTTGGAGTGATCTTATAGGTACACCGCCCATCAACCCTCTTGCGGTCATTCGATGTCAGTTTTTGGTACAAAATCAAACCTTTCCGGGCAATGGACACAACTTGTGTTTTCTCCTCTGGTGGGAAAAAAGGGCCATTCTTGTCCACAAGAAATTGGAACTTGGCAAACGCGTGCATGGTGTGAATACGAAGATGTCCTCCTTCAACATCATGATCGTTCTCTTTCAGAAACTCCGCACACCAGTACATCATGCTTTTGACTACTGCCGCTTTGAAAATGGATCCCAGTTCCGGCGGCATTGCCCATTTCTCTTTTCCAAACCGAAGGCATGAAAACCGATGTGAGCATGCTGTTGCATTGGGACCATGTTTGTGACACCAAGCTCTGTAGTGTCTATAGACATCTTTTGAGAGTAAGACGTCCATTTGTTTCAGGGTCAAAGCATAGTGTTTACATTCCAAATGATCACACACCAATGCAGCGATCAAGACACAAGCCACACCCTGATGAAGGGTATGAAGAAGGTCCTTAGTGTGAGAAACAAGGTCACTGGTACCTAACCCCACTATAGTATAAAACACAAAGATCCCTTTAGTTGATTTTTTTTCCATATTTGTTTGTGTGACTCCAATCCTCCGCAAATAGGTTGAGAAAATAAAACAATATACTTGATTGGAACCAAGATCCTCCAGGTTTCTATCTTTTGTCCATCCTTTCACATAGTATAAAACACAAAGATCCCTTTAGTTGATTTTTTTTCCATATTTGTTTGTGTGACTCCAATCCTCCGCAAATAGGTTGAGAAAATAAAACAATATACTTGATTGGAACCAAGATCCTCCAGGTTTCTATCTTTTGTCCATCCTTTCACATATCGCCAACTGCTTTGTTTGTTTCCCTGTAGAATCATGTATTCTTCATGCGTAAACCGATGACTCAGGCAATTGGCCGACAACCTGAAATCTCCAAAAGTAAAGTTCGGATCCCTGGATGCCAAGCAGTGGTCGCATATGTAAGTTGCATTGTAAAACCTTTTGGACTTGTGAATGATGTACTTGGCTTCCCAGTCACCCTTAAAGCCAGCAAAACACAGTGTCCAACCTCCACAAATTTTGTGACCTGCTCGGGTTTGTTCTGGTGACCCCGGATCAAAACATGTTCCATCGGGGCCATGCGTTGGGAATCTCCCTGTCATCAAAGTGTCCATGATGTAGCCAATAAGTTTGCCTACAGCATCATGACTCGCTTCCTTTATGATTCTGTTTTCCCGCAAGAGGATGATCACCAGCTTTGTTCTGATGGATGGACCTTTCCGACATGCACTGCTGAAAGAATACACCCATGCTTTCTGGGATTTGTAAACTTTGACACCATCAGCATGAAAAAAAACAGGAACAGTGGTTCGATGTTGGCTTGGCGATAATTCCAGCCGCTTGTAGAAGTCTAGGTGTGAACAGTGGTTCCAATACTCTTCAACTCTGTCACCGGCAGTATCCGGGTCATCTGCCACCCATTGTAGAAAATTGCCAGACTCCCACAGCCAGTGAAGAATTTCCCATGGCCAAAGAATGTTTGTTGGGCATTCCATGACTTCGACTTCATCCCCCTGGGTATTGGTAACCTTCAAAGGGATTTCCACTTGTCCTGGATGAACCGTGCATACATTTTGGCACCACCTGCCAGGGTTGGCTTTGGAAACATTTGGGATCGTCCATATCATAAAATTCCTTATGGTTTGTACTTTTTATTGGGAAAAACAAACCATGATATGTATTGATATGTTGTTTACTTTTTATTGGGAAAAACAAAACATGATATGTATTGATATGTTGTTTTGTTCAAGTCGAGCCACTTTGAGAAAGACCTCTCTGGATGCCCTCCCTGGCTCCACCGTTTCATGAGATATGCCATGTTGCACCGAACTTGATCATGGTGTAGCTCAGTCGCATCCCGGCACCCATCAGCTGCGGATGTAGCCTAAGAAGCCACAGAACTAGCTCCTATTTTATATATATATGTATATATAAATATGTGGTTCTGACATATTCCAGTGGTAAGATTGAACTCAAACTTTTGAGAAACCATTCGCAACTGTAGCTATGTACATGTGACATGAAATACTGAAGCTCAGTGACCCCTGAGCAAATCTTCCGTAAAATCCTCAAACTTGATCGTGATACTGCACCTAAGAAGGCGTCCGGATGTGCATAGAATCCAGCTAACAACTTGATTTTCGGATAGAATCTGACACAATTCAATGTTCAAACCCTTCCCATGCAATCAATCTTTGTGGGATACAACATTTAGATTTTCGGATAGAATCTAACATACTTCAATGTTCAAACCTTTCCCAATCAATCTTGGTGGGATCCAACGACTAAGTTTTCTAAAACGACTCGGGCATAGCCCTATAACCCTTCCCAACCACCTTTTGGGATTTAACTCTTGGGTCTTCTGCTGATGAGGTGCCTTCAAAGATGTCACTGGCATTCACTGGAATTGCAGCAGGAGGAGATCTGGATCGGGATTGGCACCTGCGTGGGAGTTTCCCCAACAAAGGGATATTGTTTTTACTATAGATAATTAGTATTCACAAGTTGATTTAACTAACTTGACTCAACAGCATTCCTGTTTTGACTACAGCATCCATACAACAAAAAAAAAGTTGCTTTGACTCAATACTATTCCTGTTTTGACTCTGGTATCCAAGCATCGAACGCATATCCCTGCAGGTAAGCCCGGAGGGTTCCAAGATCTCATTTGAATGTGTTGCGTGTTGCAACAGGTGCCAGTATTGGCAAAACCCTGGATGCAGCTTGGGGAACCACAGAAATAAAGTTTGCATTTTTCATGAGATGACTAGACTTATAGCATACCCCTTTTGTGCATCACTTCAACCCCCTAATGGCTGAACTGACCAACATCGTGGCCCTACTCCAGCTATATAGGCAAGTGCCACAACTTGAAATCACAAAAGTGCGAAACTAAGCATGGGCAGGGTCGGGAGCAGTTGTCGCTTCCTTTGCCGCCTCCTTCTCACTGCCAGCTGCTTCCCTATTTGACCTAGATCTAGATTTGGCAGGCTTCTCAGATGCTCTGATCAGTGCCTTCGCAAGATCCACTCTCTCCTTGGCATGCTTGGTGATGTCCTCCACCTGAAGCCCAGGCAAAGATAGGATACTTTCCAACTAGTACACTAACTACAGTACTGAAACATCGAATAAGTTTTTGAAGTTCCATGAACAAACAAAAACATCTTGAAACTCAAACACCTTTTGAAACCCCATCACCTCAGCAATGAGATCTGCGTAGTGTTTATTCTTGTTCTTACCTTTGCTGATGAGATTTTGGAGTGCATCAGCTTGGTGCCCAAGTTTCACTGCGCACGCTTTGAGCTGATCGATCAGATCAGAAGAGAGAGCCAGGGGCCGCAGCTTGAATGCATGGTCCCTTAGATGAGATTGCAGCGCTGAAACAATTTGGGTATATATGCACAACTTCTGTATTCTGACTGGCTCTTGGTCTTTGGTGACACACGTTGCAACTACCTGGCTTGATCGAACCCTTGTAACAACTTGAATGGCAAGCAGCCGACAGTTGTTGGAATCCTTCAGCACCCTCGCAAGCAGTCCCTGCGCTTTCGATATCGGTGTGTCAGGCACCACCACCTGCAACAAAAGGAACAACAGCCGAATAGGTAAAGTACATACAGACTGCAAGGGACCAAAATCACATACCCTGTTTCTGCCTTGGGAGGAGCAGTATCTTTCTCCCCTTCCTTCTTAGGCTTCTTACCCTTGCCGCCCTTTCCTGGTTTCTTTTCAGCATCCCCAGACGGAGCAGTTCCAATTGCATTTGCAAGAGTCTTCATGCCAGTGGCACCAGAAAGCCCTTCGATAGAAAGATGCTGCTTTCCGTCCTAGCAGCCTCCAGCCTTACAAAGTGCAATGGCGGTATGACAGATCCACTGTAAAACGTTTGGGTCATACACCTTTTGACATCCACAAGTTTGGATGTGCTACTGCAAAAATGAGTTGCGGGAGTGGTGTTCTATAGTTATAATTGCTTTCCTTTGAGCACCGGTTGAACGAAGTGTATGAAGACTGAAGATTCAGGACTTGAAATAAAACCAGCCTAGGAACCTCCACGAAAGCCTTGACACCATCAGCATCGAGTGATCCCTGCATCTCTATCTGGGTCACACGGCGTAGCTCTCGGATATCATCCATGTTCAGCTCCACCATGACAAAGAAGAGTTTTTCATCTTCTTCCCCAGGGAATTCAGGATCCGGAATGGTCCTCAGAAGAACAGTTTGGGCATGCACCCGTCTAGTAATGGGACAGAAAAAAGTGATTCCAGATGGAAATCCAACATTATATATATATATACATTTCATACTTGGGGATGCAGTATTCCAATGGCACATGGATGTATAACATGACATAGCTGCTGGGGTTGTATCCTAACCTCTGGGAATTTTATTGTCATATAAACCATATTTATGATAATTTCAACTGCACCCCCAAGTATGTATTTATATCTCCCCAAACCAGATGTAAGTAATCAAAACTATCAACATACATATTTGAATGTTTATATATATATAAATATATATGTGCATAGACCACAACGGGATGGATATGGACAGATAAGGTATATTCCCTTATATATTGGCTCCCATCTCCCGAAAGTTTTCGGGGCTTCCAAGTTCCCATCTTGGTCATGTACTGATATTTTTTTAATTTCCAATAATGCATCCATTACGCAAAGGAGATGGAAGCTGTTTGCTCGGTGGAGTTCGTTCGTTGGAAGGCCTGCTTTGGGGCTGGAAAGTCAACCTGGAGATGTGCGGTTCCCAACAAAAACCACTTCATTATGGGGCAAGCTTCAATCCAAGTTCGCGTTTGCGAGCCATGATCTTTGTAGCTTTTCGCTCTCCATGGTGCTTGATTAACCATTGGTCATTCCTGAATCCATAACGAATCTGGGTCCTTTGGGTTTCTTCCAATCGGGCCTCAAAACGGGCCTCCACCTGGGCGGTATCCCGATTGGTCTCGACATAGTCCTGGAACAGCTGGTGCCTGGTCTCCTGCGAGTTCAATTGAGATAGGGATACCATGTGGGAATTATAACCATGTTGGTTCTATTTTTGGATCTACCACCTAATTGATGGATCTTGGGGCCTCCAAACTTGAACGGATTCTTTGTTACCCAACTGATACCGAGCTAACTTGATGGGGCTTGGAAGATTTTGGCAGGGCCTTGATTTTTCCAAAAAAGGTATACCCGATTGATATAACAATCTTTTGCAACCACCTTGTGTAAATAAATACCCAACTAGGGCGATGTAACCATCTCATTCAGGATTCAGTACCTTAGTCTTTTCCTTGTGCAGGAAAAACATAGGTGACCATTTTTGGTGGCAAAACCAAACTGTTTCCATGCAAGAAATGGTCTTCAAAAAAGTCCCTTGTTGAAAAGATACCCAGCCAATTAACCAGTCCTTGTTCTTGCAAGCTGCTATGACCTTTGCTGGGCAACGGGTCGGGTTCTTCAAGTATCTTGTGAAAGCCTGCCACTCCTTTCGAAACTTGGTGCTGTTCTTGACTTTGATGCCCTTCTTTGCAAGGCTTTTCTCTGCATCTTTCAATGCCTTCTTGGCCTCTTTTTTTGCCTCCTTCTTCTCTCTTTTCTTCTCACCCTTCGTTTTTTCAGTTGCCTCGCTCGGAGCTTTGGCCTCTTCCTCACACAGCTTTCTCTTGACACCCGTGTCAACTTTGGTCTCCTTCTCACTCTCCTCTTCGCTTCCCATCTCACCCTTCCCATCGCTGTCCTCACCTTCGCTGTTTGTCTCACCCTGGCTACTCTCTGAGACACTGCCCTCCTCCTCTTCTTCCTCCTCCTGATCTTCATCTTCACTGCCTTCTTCTGATACCTCTTCATTGTCTGAGCTCTTCTCCTGGCTTTCTTCTTCATGGTCTGAATCGCTTTCAAGTTGGCTTGCTTCCTCCTCACTTTCGCCTTCGCTGGAACCTTCGCTGTCATTGCTGTTGCTGTCTTCTTCTTCGTCTTCACTCTCGGTTGCCTCTTTCTTTTTCAGCAAGCTCACAGGCTTCATGTTCTTTGCATCTTCCAAAGCCAGCGTCTCCTTCTCTTTCTCTGCCTTTGCTTTCATTGCTTTCTCTGCCTGTGCCTTCTGTTCCTTCTCCTTCTTTGCAATCTCTTTTGCTGCCTTTTCTGCGTCTTCTTTTGCCTTCTGTTCTGCCTTTGCCTTCTCTGCCTGTGCCTTCTCTGCTTTTGCCTTCTGTTCTGCCTTTGCCTTCTTAGCCTTAGACTTGGCATTGCCTCTGTGTTCCTTCTCACTCTCCTCTTTGGCTGCTTTCATCTTCGCTGCCGCTTCTCTCTCTTCCTCTTCCTTCTGTCTTGCTTCTTCCTTCTCCTTTTCCTCTTTTCTCTTCTTGCTTTCCTTCGGCTTCTCCGACTTCTCCTTTGGTTCTTGCTTCTGAGCCTTTCTGGGTCCAGTCTTTCTTCCTGCATCCCCCTTTCTCTTCCGTGGCTCCTCATCATCATCTGATTGCTTCAGCGTCTTCCCTTTCTGCTCCTTCTTACTTTTCACCTTGACGTCTGACTCTTTGGAGCCCTTGGCCTTTTGAGCCTGGGCATTATGTTCTATAACAGTGCTCCACCAGTTCTCAAGAGAGCCATAACCATCCCATCTATCATCTTTTGGTATCTTCTTTTCACTCCTGGGCTCTACTTTCTGATACAAGCCAGGTCGTTCAAATCTTTTCCAAAACTGCCGGCGCGCCTCATGCTCTTCATCTGAACTCGAGCTGTTTGCTGCTGCTGCTGCTGCTTTCTTCTTCCTTTGTTCCTTTGCTGCCGTGTCCTGCTATGAAAGTGGAAAATCGGTGCATTCACCTTTTTTGGTTTAAGACCATTGCATGTTTTTGAAAAACACCTTGCAAAACCATAAAGAGGAATCAAGAACACCCACATTATTGGAAGATAAGTCCAATTTGTTTTGGATATTTGGGAAAAGGTGCAAAAACATATACTTTGGATTCCATCCCAGTTTCTACCCCAATATACCCCAGTATGGCTCCTTACGCATGGCTGCGATGATAGCATCAGCCTTCTCACCCTTCATGGTTTCATCCTCAAACCCTTTCCCTGGTGGGTTCTCTGCTTGGATATGGTGGATACTGCTGCGTTCAGCAAAACTCAGCTTCTTTGGAGTAACCGGTGTAGAAGACCTACTGCTGTTGCTGCTAGGCTTGTTTGGAGTCACCAAACCACCTTTACTCTTCTGTTGCACCTTCAAAGCCTTTTTAAGAGCTTTCGGGTCAGGGCTCTTCCCACGAGGAGCTGATTTCCCACGCACCCTATGGCTAGGAGCTGCCATGATCGATGAAGTAAGCGGGCCCAAACCAAGTTCCACTAAGTTGCCTTAATAGAGCCAATTCAAATGTATCAAGGCTTGTCAATGCCAGTGAACAACAAAACAAGGATATGTTCTCCACTTGAACTGTATGATATGCTAACCTAATACCATTTTCCACCGCTCTAGACGAGGTCGAAGGTCCCCAAGATGATTTAATTGGGGTTGGCAATCGCGCAGGATCCATATATTGGATACATTTCCGGGAAATAAAATGTAAATTCCTTCAAAATGTTAACAAATAATTGCAAAGTTTGGAAACTTCCAAAACCAGGAAATTTCCCGGTTTTTCTCGGCCATTTCCCGGCTTTTTCCCGTTTCCCGGGCTATTTGATTTTGTTTTTTTTGGGTGTTGTTTGTGAAAAAAGTCAATCCTGCACATCCAACCACATCTAATTTGAACCAAAAGGGTATGTTACCCTTCATCGCTTGCCATTTGGCTATTTGTCCATGGCATTAATCACCTGGATCAGGTTGGCAGAGCTGGCCCACCCGGACTCCTCAGCGGGCATGGTGCTTGTGGTTGATCAAGGGATAACCCAGAGAATATAGCCGGGTATATATCGGATAATATCCAATATTTTAAGGACCGGTAACATTCTATATATGGGGGAAACACTAGTATATGCTGGATCATCTTCTACTATCTATCTATATGTATAGTGTATACACTCCGGGTACATTGCCATATATATATATAAATATATAATATTCTTTTTCTTTTTATATTACATTATATTGTCATAAATTATATATAATATATTATATGTTAAATTTCAAATATCAAATATTTGACATATAATATATGATATATCATAGGTGATTTATGAACAAATAATAAATGGTAAACAAATATTATAATGTATGTTATTTATGATACATTAAATGTTATATATTGCAAAATGTATATATATATATATGTCATACATATAATATATATACCATAAATGCTATCTAGATTAGACATTTTTTTTGACACTATAAATTATATATTATATTATCTTATCTTATCTTTTATCGAACATTATATTATATATTATATTATATCATATCATGTATCATATTATTCTACTTTGATGGAAACCTCCCAAGAATTCTTGGCTCGGTGGGGGGAAACCCAGGAATTCCCACAATTCTTGGGGCAACCCAGGAAATTTCTTGGGAAACCCAGGAATTCCCACAATTCTTGGGGCAACCCAGGAAATTTCTTGGGAAACCCAGGAATTCCCAGGAAATTTCTTGGGCAACCAAAGAATTCCCAGGAAATTTCTTGGGAAACCCAGGAATTCCCACAATTCTTGGGGCAACCCAGGAAATTTCTTGGGCAACCAAAGAATTCCCAGGAAAAATCTTGGGGAATCCTAAACTTCTGTGGGCCACCTGGGAAATCCGGCGAAATATGATTGTTATGGTTTGCAGGGGCTTCTGAAAGGGAATTGGTATGGTTTGGTATTGTGACCCCCTATAGAGGATTAATCCCATATTAGAAGGTGTATGTAAGAAATACATGAACAATATATACACAGCTATGTATACGTTACATACATACATACATACATACATACATACATACATACATACATACATACATACATACATACATACATACATACATACATACATACATACATACATACATACATACATACATACATACATACTACATACATACATACATACATACATACATACATACATACATACATACATACATACATACATACATACATACATAACATACATTACATACATTACATACATTACATACATTACATACATTACATACATTACATACATTACATACATTACATACATTACATACATACACATTACATACATTACATACATTACATGCATTACATACATACATACATACATACATACATACATACAACCTAACATACATTACTACATACATAATACATACCATACATACCATACATACCATACATACCATACATACCATACATACCATACATACCATACATACTATACATACCATACATACCATACATACCATACATACCATACATACCATACATACCATACATACCATACATACCATACATACCATACATACCATACATACCATACATACCATACATACCATACATACCATACATACCTACATACATACATACATACATACATACATACATACATACATACATACATACATACATACATACATACATACATACATACATACACACACACAGACAGACATACATACATACATACATACATACATACATACATACATACATACATACATACATACATACATACATACATACATACATACATACATATATATATGTATATGCATATATGTATATATGTATATGCATATATGTATATATATATGTAAATGTACATATATATATATAATGTGTATATGTATATACGTATGCATGTATTCGTGTGTATAGGTGTACATACTTATACAAATAATTATGTATATACATGTATATGCATACATTTACATACATATATATATATATATATGCTCACATACATGTATCGATTTAAAGATATACACATACATTTACATATGTATGTTCTACATACACATATGTGTGCATGTGCGGGTGTGCATACATTGTCCACATTGTCCATGGGCCTTGAAATCCAAGGTTCCCGCATTGCTTTCATTGGCTTGGGCAAGCTGGAAAGCTCTTCCCTGAGATACGGTATTGGGCTGGTGGTGAGCAAAATGGGCTGGTAGTAAACAAATCACAAGGGCAATGTTTCCCATATTTCCACTGAGGTACTCCCTTTGTTTGATGATCTTCTTCATAGACTTGTGGTTGTTCAAGTATAACTGAGCAACAGCTTGACCCAGCAACGCTGGATAATGCTGGGATCCTTTCAGATCTGCGCCACCGCAAACTCGGTTGACACCTTTGGAGTCGACATACCTAAGATAGGCAATGAATGGTGTAAGCACGGCCTGTTTGGCAAACCCAGAAAAACAAATTAACAACCAATAAAAGGGTAAGATTACTTCCCCATGTCGGTGGCTCCTGAAAGGTACCATATTGATTGTTGGGACATCCTTCACTACACAACATATCATACCAAGTAGCCGCTTGCTCATGTCAGCTGGCCAGTCAGCATCCGACGGCAAAGGCAAGTAGAGCGATGTGATCCATTGATAATTTGAATAAAGAAATGTTCCCTTTGGACCTGAAGTAGCAGTATGTAAAGGACCCAACACATATATAGCGATGGCCATATCTCTCCAAAGAAATCAAGCTGGGTTCAATTGCAAGAATTGATTTTTGTTTCAGCTGCAATTTCAGCTGCAACCACCAAAACCAAGTTGTTCTCTCAACTGCATCGTTCTTATAATATTGAGTAACGCATATGTACACCACAACATTGGGGCAGCTGAAGAATTCAACTTGTTTTTTTTCCAGCTAGGTTTTAACTGCCTTTATTCTTGATGAACACACTGGCTGGCCATTTTGGCATCGCCTCCTAGGCTTTGATCCACCTAGACCTCCAAAGACCTCCGGAAGTTCCAGAAGTTGCAGGCAAGGATCTGCTTCCACCGTATGATCCAAGCCACACAAATACCTCGGGTATGGGTTCAAATGATTTAGATTTAGGAGAAACAGAAAAGATATGCAGCATGCATATGTGTATGCCAGATGAGAAACTGTACACATATAGCTATATATATATATATATATGGAACTATATGTGAAACTATATGTCGCCATGTATGGTCGTTGGAAAAAGCTTCAAACATCTTGCAAAGATAAGGTGCTCGGTAAATTTCAAACTTCCGGCATAGGTATTGAAAGTCTGGATGAAACTGCATCAGCGATGATGCAGGCTGTTCCAGAATAAAGGGTATTCTCAGGATACAGCATACCAACGCCAAAATGCAGCAACGAGACACCATGCAATTCCTTAGATTGCAGATCTGAAAGCCCCAGGGGGATAGTGGTTGATGTTCTGCTGTTCCTGCATTTGAATTTGCCCAAAGCGAGCACCTCAATTGTTTTGATATAAATATGGGCACCCAAAATGTGTTGGTGATACCCTTAACCTTTTAGATTCCACATTTGTCCAGTCATTTCACACACAACATGATTCCTCCACTGTTTGTCTCTTTTTTGCACTGACCCCAATATCAAGAGCAAATCCCCATACCTGACATCTTGTCACCTTGTCGTACTTTGGCAGCCCGTTTGTTTGGGCGCACGCGGAACATGTATTTGCAAGGCATGTGCATCACAACAAAGACTTTGGATTTCTAATACCCTAAATGAAGCTTGGGTTTCAATTGAATTTTCAGATACCAAGCACATGTAGCCTTGCCAAAAGCTAACATCAAACTGCTTCAGCTATCCTATCTGCAAATCTCCTAGTTCAGTCGCTGCCATCATGGTTGGGAAGCCGCAGCACGTCGCACACCATCTTCCACGCAGAACCCACGTCTTTCACGAACGTGATCCTAAGTAGACAATTGGGGAATAGTGGGTGTAAACCCTTGGTGGCTGGATACGATTGTAACCCTTTATCCAATTTAATCCCTGTATGTGATGGCCACTTGTTTTCCTTGTTTTAAACCTTTATTCCATTGAATCCCATTGTATGTGATGACAACTTGTTTCCAAAGCAAAGGGTCGATCGGGCAGACTCACCAGTGAGGGCTACTCCATTGATATCAGCCTTGGGTTTGAAAGCCATTTGTCGAAGAAGCACTTCAACGCGAGCAGAGCCCAGCCACCTAGGATCAAATTGGAACTTTGAAACGCTGCTGAAAACAAAACAAACCAAGATATTGAAACGTGTTAATTACAACGTTTTCCAAACATGTTTCTGGAATTCATCCAGGCAACACTGTGTAACTGTGCTCACCATGCTTTGTCGATGTTGGCCACATGCACACCGGTAGAGTCTTGATGAGTGCTTGGTAAGTAACGGCAAATGACTCAAGCACAGAATCCTTTGATGGTTCCACAGCCTCTTCACCCTGTTCGTTTTTGGGGGAACCCTTTTTGGCCTTGGATTTCTTTGCCTTACGTCGAACCTTCTTCTTGGGTTTCTTTGCACCAGGGGCCACTTCATCACCGGCATTTCCCCGACCCCTTTTCTTCCTGTTCCCCACGTTCACAGGCGAAACCGACCCAGCACAGTCCGTCTCATCGAAATTGGCCGGGTCCTGAGTTGGAGGACCAGGTAAGCCAGCGTGGTGAAACTTTGATCATAGGGGCAACTTGTGGGTAACTTATAATAATTGCATATATGGATGAAAATATATTCTTAACCTTACATACAAAATAATCTAAATACAAACTAACCGTGGCAGGGTTCGTCACCCAAAAGAGAATCCACACCATCATGTCCAGCTGGAACTGGCACATCCTCATGAGCTTTCTCATCATCGCATACGATACTATGTGTTTCCGGTTGGGATTCTTCGCCATTGGTAAGAGGAAGGGGGTCCTCTTCATCGGAACTCAAAGCCGGGACAACCTTCCAAACATCACTTCCACAGTCGCTAACCTTAGCTGCATGGTGTACATGTTGGATGTCAAGTATTTGAAACTGCTGGCATTATTGCATATGTGTTCATTAACATATACTGAATGTTGTAACAAACATGAATGAACCAAAACTTGCTTTGTCTAGCTAATGTACATCATCTTCAGATTGCGAAGACGATGACCCTTCGAAGTCTGGTACATCCACTACTCCCATGAAATTGTCAGGGATGGGGTCTGATGACTCTGAATCAGGGGATGACTCAGAGCCACCCAAAGGCTCGGTCTCAGCATCCAAATCAGCATCCGTGACACTCTCAGCATCCTTGGTGACAGGGTTGCGCATCAAATCTTTCAGGGTCTGCACCCATGGGCTTCGAGACGCATGTCGGCTGTTCTGCCATTTCCTGCATGGGGCATGACCCAGAATTAAGGTGCATGTTTTTTTTGGATGGCTAAAGCCCAGAAAGAGCTAATGGCAATACTTTAGAAGTCCATGGTTAGCAATTTTTTCAGGCTCAATGGCAATATTTTGCAATTCCAGGGTCCAATTTAATGGCAATACTTTGGGGGGATTTGGGGGTTCCAAATTTCCAAAAAAAGAAAAAGGTCCAACTATGTAATAGTTGAACCTATTTCTGGGGAATCCTTTTCTATGGGACTAAGCTTGAAATTGCGTAGAGCTAATGGCAATACTTTGGAATTTCAGTGTTGAAATTTATCATTCCTGAGAAGTTGAATTGTCACCCAACTACATTCCACATAATGCAGGGTCCTGCGAAGACCTGACCAAAGCTTGCCCAGTTTGAAGATTGCCCGGTCACGGGCTTCTTCAAAGTCCTAAGTTCCCGTAATGATGCAGGCCCAAATGTGTAAGGGGTACCATGCAGATCTAAATCCCGATTACCAAATCCCCATACCTATCCCATAAAGCAACAAGGCCTATATATCCGTGTACCTCTTGATGCCACTAACAAACAATATATGTAATTGGGATACCTGCTATTGGGCTTGACTGCCAAGGCTCATCCTCGGGTTCAAAAGGACGAATGGCGAGTCCCTGCGCCATGCAGGCCATGTGCATCATGGGACCATGATTGAAAAGAATGATCCCCTGGAACTTAATACTTTGTTTGTTCGATTATAATGGGCCTGGTGGTAGTGGTTGAAAGCATTAAGCACAATCTTCAACTCTTCCTTCGAAGGCTTTCGTGCTTGGAAGGCGCGGAAAGTCACCAAGCAATGGATTGCCCAATAGTTTTTGATCCTGAATTGGAAATCACATCCAGGGTCGGTAGTGCATGGGGTCAAAACAGATCAAAATAGTCATCAAGATAATCAAAACAAATCACATGAACTGACCCGTGAGGATTTGTACAAACCTAAATAGTATAAGATGTATCTACCATTTCTTGTGGTGCAAAACAGTGTGAACTGCAGCTAGGCTTCAACAGTCGCTCTTTGGTTGTGGACTTCCCATACACCCCAACAAGCAAGTCCCGGGTTGGTGGCACATTCAAAGGCGTAATGGCCTTCTCTTGGACGTTCTTAGGGACAGCTTTTGCAAGCTCCAATCCCAAACATTGCAAGGCTGCTACATTTCTTTGGACCCTCTGAAGGAAGACAGCCCTCCCAGTCCCAAAGAGGGTCATCCAAGAAAGAGTAACTAGACTCGCCACCATCGGACTCCATGTCACTGGGAGGATCGCGTGAGCCTTTGGAGCAGCTCGACATCAAAGAGGACTCGGTATGTGCACGCACCTGGGCCCTGCACACCACAAATTGGTCCTTCTCGAGCCAAGAGTTACGCCACTGAAAAGTTGAATGGTTTTTCGCACTGATTGATGTTCATAACCATGTTCATAACCATTTTATCATTCTCAGCTTTAACCACATGCACCCCCCCTAGAAACCAGCCAAGCATCGCATTGGCCACTTGGGCCAAATGGACAGCCCCAAGAGGACGCTCTCTGCTTCGTCCCGATGTTGAACTGAGATTGCACGGGTGGCTGCGAGGATTGGCTGAGCTCGGATCTCATTTGGCCACAAATCAAATTTGCCGACCAGCCGGATAGAAAACATTACATGTGTGGATTTCCTGACACTTCTATGGCCATCAATGGCAGTGGAACCCACAAAACTTGCAAGATTCAAACAGCATTCTTTTATACATATGTGTCTAAATGATGTGCAAACAAACCCAAACATCAAAACACAACCAATGACCTGATTTGGCCAGAGAACCGATTTATCCACACCCATGTGGAACATACCGGCGCTAGCCAGCATAGCCCGGCCTGAGATGAGTTGCAAGCATGACTAATGAAAGTTGACCCTGTACAGAAAAGTTTGGGGACCACTTTTTGTAGCTGTTGTTCTGTATTTGATTTTTGAGATATATGAATCATATGAACATCCAGAACCAATGATGTATATCCCTGCAAGTCCAACCACACTGTTTTCTCACCAGCCGTTCATTTTACCTGATAGAAATGGACTTGACATTTTGTAGGAGTGCTTGCTCAGTGTGGCAGGGCCGAGCTGGTTGCCGTGCATCGTTTTTACCTTCCAATTTACTTGGAATGCAGCGGAGCCACTGTTCGCCGCAGCCGGAGCACAAGGGAAATGGCATATGCAAATCCTGGGATGGCAAAACTTAATGGAAATAGACACAAGTTTAAATCATAACAACATACACATATTTAGAGATGCAAATAGCATATACATATGCAAGTTTACTTGGAATCGCACTGAACTTCAATGCCTACATTTTGAACATGCCAAGAGAGTTTGCCACTTGGTAAATTTGTCACAGTGTTCATCTAAGAATCCAATCCCAGAGAGCATGTCTTCAATTGCACGGTCTTCAATCTCGAAGCTCACCGCTGTCATTCCATGCTGCCTCAACGTATGCAGGAAGCATGTCTGGTGTTTGAAGGCATCAAACATCGGACGTGCTGCCTGCCTCCGTGACAGCCAAGTGAACTGGTTGACATGCAAGGCCATGGAAATGTTTGGAGGGATCACCATATGAAACATAATCGAATAGGAAGGCATGTGGAAATGCATGACATGGTACTTGGTGCACTAATTCTTGTTTTGGAAGTCACTGTTCAGCCAAAGCACCGGAAGCCATTGCAAATGGACTTGCATCCAGCGAAGAACTCAGCCACCGAAATAGCCTTGGCAGGCATTGAAAACTGGGACGATGGAATTCATTGGTCGGTCTTTCGGTTTGTCAATCTAACTCCATCCAAGTATTAATAATGAATAACCCCATTCTCCAATATTAAACACCCCCAAGGTTGAAAAGTTGATTTACATGGATTTTCACATATTTGGCACTATTTGGGTGTTGTTTCATTTTAAGGGGATGGGGTTAATCGATACATCTTAGATTTGTTTTTAAAGAACGGGATATACTATATAATTGGATTCCTCTATGGGGTGTTATGTATATTGATCCCAAGGGCCACGCATTAACTCGTTAATACCCCATTCAAACAACAGAAAAATGGAAACCTTAAACCAAGCAAGGAACAGTCATGGGCGATGACATGTTGCAAGCAACCGCATGAACCAGGCTCATCAAGGCATAAGGCAGGCCGCCCATAGACAATAGATGCAACCTAAGCTTGGAAATGTGGTACTGTTAACCTGGCATCTGGAGTTATGGGACTACCCCCAAAAATACAATCAACAGTTGTGAAAACACGCCAAAATAAAATAACACTGCATGGGATCTATGAATCCGAGGTTAACAGTACCTACTGCATGTGACCCCTCGCGATCCACAAGTCAGGGATGAAATGGACACCTACCTGCAATAGAAATTCAAACCTGAATGGGTAAAATGGAAAAAGTAGATTGAAACATATTGAAACTAAGAAACGTCAGCGCGATGACAGGATGCAAGTTGCTCACAGCTGGGGTGTCAAAACGTTTGGCCTTACCCTTTTTCTTTGCGGATACCTTTCTGCGAGCCCACCCGCCATTTTTCAACGGTTTCAGCACCTTCAATGCCATTGCGGCAAGGCTATGGATCTGCTGGGCCCAAAAACAAACTGCGCAGACACCACACATGCGTGCCTGAATTTCCCTAGGTGTTCAAAGCGTGGATGGTTCCAACCTTGGTTTACCCGGCCGTACCCGGCCAACCTAACAAGCAGAGGGGGGGAGCGCACCTAGCCATCGATGGAGCAGCAACGCACCCAACATGGCAGCGTGGCCGCGGTGGCTGGTGCGCATGAAAAACAAAAAATTGTCAATATACATTGTTTACCTTGCAGTCTTGCAACTGCCCAAGGCGAAAACCCGACTTGGAAAAAATATATAGCGCCACTCCACATCAACTTTTGCCCTCTGAAATTGGGGCACATGGCCCCATGCTTTGCAGGCACTTCATCACAGCGCCGGGTTTGGTCCAAATTCTGGAGACAAAAAGCAAAAGCGCCCATAATCACCCAAAAGCGTTGGAAAAACTTGAGATTTGGTGGTGCCCCTCTATTATATAATATTCAAACCTGGAGATAAATATATGTATATCTATATATATTATATATTATACGTTTTTTTGCGCAAAAGGCCACAGGCCTGTCTGAGTGGAACAGCATGATGGGCAAGATAAGCCTTCAAGGCTTATTCCCTTCTGAAGGCTCCTACTTGCCTCATGATCATGGCAAGATAAGCATTCACACTTAAAGGCTTAAAGGATAGCACTCTCGGCTCTCTAGGGACCTCCTGAAGTTCATAGCTGCCGGTTTCACTCGAATTGTTCCATCACAAGCTGCACGGCTGCCAGGACTGGAAGATCCCTTGAAGGCTGATCGCCGAAAGATTAGATTTTCTCTGGGCAATCAGTATATTCTGGGGATTTCGAAGGATGAAATGTTAAAATGTCATAGACGTGTAACTGTGTTTTATTGTTGTTTTATTGTAAGACAAATCGGAAACCAGATTGCAAATTACTTGCGTCAATCCAGCTTTCACCAGCCAAGGAGTCAACAGACACGACATGACATGCATGCTGCAAAAGTGCTCTTTTCTATCACACTTTTCGGTCATTTGGGAAGTTCTGGTCCTGGGGTGTATTACTAGCTCTTCTACCTCCGTCAGTACGATTTTTCTGCAGCAGCTTGCTCAAAGGGTGCGAAACCCACGTAGATTGCCTCTTGACTTGATCTGATAAACATGTAACAGATTTTGCTTTTTGGCACTACATGGTTTTGGCATATTTTGGCATCGGCTCAATCTTGTGCACGCGACGTTTCCCAAGGCTGAAAGAGTTGAATCTTTTGTTATATTGCAACCGTGGAGGAAGTTCGTAATAAGATCTAATTAAGATTGAGACCCAAACCTGCTTTGCCAATCTTGGACAACATCATTCTGTTCTACCAGACAGTGCCCGGCCCCTGCCGGCGCGGAAGCTTAAAAAAATGAATTGGCTAAATGGCTATATGCTACAAGAAATCAATGGCCTTTAAGAAAGTTGCAATGAACTGTTGAAGTTGTGAGGTGCAACAACCAATGAGCAAATGTTCGTTGAGATGCCAATGAGACGACTGGGCCAGCAAGTCAATGAATCATTGAACCAATGTGAACCGCTGAATCAGCGAATCAATGACTCAAGGAATCCATGAATCGACGAATCAATGAATCAATGAGCCAATGAACTAGTGTATCATATCAATGAAGCATTGGACGAGTGAAGTCGATGAATCAATGGTTCAATGAATCATTGAGTCGCTGGCTTGAATCAATGAACCAATGAGTCGTTGAATCAGTGAGTCGTTGAATCAAAGTAGCACTATGGTCTAAAGTGACTTTTTGCGCAGCTGTTACATTACGTTTGGCAACTTCCAGCTGCACTTTTCGCGTAGCAGCAGAGTTGCAGCATCGCCGAGATGCTTTCCTGTGCGCAGCCCTGTCAGGGCCGATACCACTGAAACAGAGACCCCATTCATTTGGCGACCCGCCACATTACCCAAAAACAACAGGGTACCGCGCCCGAGAGTGTGTGTACCCGTGAATTTACACGCTCCCGCTCTAATGATGATGGGCCGGTGACGTGGTTGACAATGATGATGCGGTTGACATGCTGTTGTGAATGCTAACCTTGAGCACTGCCCGTAGACTCGGAAGTTTTCTAACCAGACTTTCTTTGCTTATTATTACTTAAAGGATCTAAAAGGTCTATGTATTAGCATGGCGCTCTATCACGTTTTGAGGGGGTCCCTTTTAGATGTTTCATGTTAGCATATATGGTCATGTACTGACATACCACCTTTGGAGTCAACTATCCCCTTCACTATCCCCTTAAAAAGTGCCATCTTTGGACGAACTATCCCCTTAAAAAATGCAATCTTTGGAGTAACTGAGCAACTATCCTGTTTAATTATCCCCTTAAAATTGCCACAATTGGAGTCAACCATCCCCTTGACTATCGTGTTAAAAATGCCATTTTGGAGTCAACCATCCCCTTAACTATCCCCTTAAAAGTGCCATCTTTGAAGAACCTATCCCCTTAACAATCTCTTTTTTTTTTGGAGTAACTACCCCCTATCTTTGGGGAAAATACCCGCTTAAAATCATTTCCCAAAATTGACCCCTGAATCGGCCAAAATTGTCCCTTCAAAAGTGGTTCAAAACTGATCCAAAATTGACCCCAGACGGGTCCAAAACTATCCCTTTATTAAGGGAAGTTTTGGTTTCTGCAAGCTGATATGGAACTGTCCCCTTCACTATCCCCTTAATAAGGGGATAGTTTGGAGGTGATTTTTCGGGCATTAGTTTGCCCAGGGATAGTTGGCCCCTCACACGTAGACAATTGAGGGGATAGTTAAGGCGATAGTTAAGGGGATAGTAAGAGATAATAAGGCTTAAAGAAAACGTGTCAGAGCCCCATGCTAATCTACCTACCTGTCTATCTATCTATCTATCTACCTATCTATCTATCTATCTATCTACCTACCTACCTACCTAATCTATCTATCTATCTATCTGTCTGTCTGTCTGTCTATTTATCTATCTACCTATCTATTTACCTATCTACCTATCTATCTATCTGCCTATCTGTCTATCTGTCTATCTGTCTAATCTATCTATCTGTCTATCTATCTATCTGTCTATCCATCCATCGATCCATCTATCCATCTATCTATCTACCTACCTATCTATCTATCGATCGATCGATCGATCTATCGATCTATCGATCTATCTATCGATCTGATCTATCTGATCCTATCTGATCTATCTGATCCTATCTATCCTATCTAATCCTATCTAATCCTATCTAATCCTATCTAATCCTATCTCATCCTATCTCATCCTATCTAATCCTATCTAATCCTATCTAATCCTATCTAATCCTATCTAATCCTATCTAATCCTATCTAATCCTATCTAATCCTATCTAATCCTATCTAATCCTATCTAATCCTATCTAATCCTATCTAATCCTATCTATCTATCTCTCTCTCTCTCTATCTATTTATCTATCTATCTATCTATCTGTCTGTCTGTCTGTCTGTCTGTCTAATCTGTCTATCGATCTATCTGTCTGTCTGTCTGTCTATCTGTCTAATCTATCTATCTGTCTAATCTATCCATCCATCTATCCAGCTATCGATCGATCTATCTTTCTATCTATCTATCTATCTATCTATCTCTATCGATATCTATCTATCTATCTATCTATCTATCTATCTATCTATCTATCTATCTATCTATCTATCTATCTCTATCGATATCTATCTATCTCTATCGATATCTATCTATCTCTATCGATATCTATCTATCTCTATCGATATCTATCTATCTATCTATCTATCTATCTATCTATCTATCTATCTATCTATCTATCTATCTATCTATCTAATCCTATCTATCTGTCTATCTATCTATCTAACTAACTCCCTTTTAATATATCTATTTATTGTTAGTTCAAAAATTGTTGAAACCTGCGCTGGCCTACATTAGCTTACCCGCCAATTGCCTCCATTGCTATCCATCGCTGGTGTGAAACCTGGTCAAGACACAAAGTATCAACCCCCGCCAAGCGCTGCGATCGCCATGCGGCTGCGTCCTGGCGCTCTGCTGTCTGGAGCTTAGGCGATCATTGCTGCAGGATGTACAATCTCATCACCCCACTTGCACCCCAGCAAGATACGGATTCAAACATGCAGGCCGATTGATTACATGTCACCAGAGGTTCTAAATAGGCAGCGTTTTGTTGAAGCACAAAGTCCAAATGCCCTGGACCATTGCAATTTTTGCATCCTGATATGGGCGCTGTCCTAGTCGGATAAATCGATTCCAGAAATGTTTTTCAGTCGATTCAAATCCAATTTGATATCATTCTCAAAAAGGGGTGGTCCTGAACTGAGCAGTATGTTGCGACCATGGCGACCATGGGCTGACACCACCCATTCTTGATTCATACATACCATTTCCACGTTCCATAACATCTGGTTATTTCTAGGATGAATCCAGAAATTGGCAGTTCACAAGACGAACCGCATCCTCCGAGGACCTTCCTGGCGTTACCCATCTTCCTGACCTTTGTGGTGCCACGGGGAGACAGGACAGGGCAGAAGGGTGCACGTGGTTTCCTGGATCAGAAGAGTAGGCCCTGAGGCCAAGAAAATGCACCAAAGTTAGTCAAAGTAGATCCAGCATAGCAGTGGCATAGAGCAATTTTTGCTGCTCCGACTTTTCGATACTTTTCCGTTGTCTGATTCACGACATATTTGCCGGAAGATCTTCACACTTTCGACTTCGAAAGTTGTTGATGAAAGTGCACTTATTGGAAGTCAGGAGCACCCTGCGGCCAGAAAGACAAAAACACTTCACTGCGAGGCCCAAGTCTCAGTTGAGTACTTTGGAGTTTGAGGTGCCAATGTCAACCGATTGATCAATGGCCCAATCGAGGGGTCAAAGGAATTGGGACAGAACTCAACGGATTCTAGTATCACTGGTTCTTGCATGGGCACGTTGTGTCCAAAACTGTTGGATCCCCAACAACAGTT